TGGTTGTATACACACACACACACACACACACACACACACACACACACACACACACACACACACACACGGTAAATTATGTAACATCGAAGAGGCCGAAAAGGCAAAGTGGAAAAATACCCCACTCGCCACAACATTCTACTTCTCATGTGATCTAATACACGAGCTGGAGCAAACAATTAAACTTTCAAAGTGATAACAATGCTTGTATTAATAATGTGGCAACAAGAGCTGAAATATTTTTTGTGCGGCGTGAATAGTTTGAATCAGACAAGCGTAACGGCAACAGTATGAAATATGCTCTAAAATGTAACTTATTGCTTGAGCTTCATTTGAAGAGCGCAGGAAAGGCTGTTTATTACATTCTGCTACAAGGAGTGCTTGCATCACACCCCTAGTTTGTTGCTGTTGTTGTTCATACTAATAAGATGTACATTCAAGTGATACCAGTTTGACATACTTGTAAAAAGCAAGAGGCTCAGCTGCATCCTATTTGTTGACATTTGAGAGCATCTGTAGCTACAGAGTGGCAGTTATACTTCCTGTCCCTTACATAATGTTCCATGTGGTAACTCAGAACACTTCTGTACTGCACTGAATGTTCCGTATGGGAAACAAACCAACATAATCATCTAAAAACAACACTGGACGAGAGTCTTCAAGTTAACAATGTTTGAGCAATGACAGGAAAGCGGATTATCCGAAGAGGATATCAACTCCACATGAAACTGTTCTAGTGGAGATTCAAATATGGATCCCCTGACAGTGGGCCAGTTGTGCTAACCACTATATCATCGTGCTGCCCACTTACAGGCCCCTAACCAAAATAAAATAAATATTGTTGATGTACCACCGCTCTGACTTTTCAAAAGAGACAAAGCAAAATGTCTTCTCAAAGTGCTTTATTTCACGACTGTACTGTACTGTATAATTTTCATTTGACTGTACTTATTAGAAACTAATAATACAAAATGTGCAGTAAGGGCAAAGATGCATCGATTCCCACATTTTTTAAAAAATGATTTGCGTATCTAAATGAGCATCAACCAACCATTATCTGTGATTGTACCATTAGCCAGAGTCTTGACTGTAGACCACGCCCACCTGCCGACGCACTTCATCCTCCACTTCGGCCAGCGCAAGAGAGTCAGCGTGGGACATCACGGGACTCTCTTTCAGTCCTGCGGTGGAGAGAACACCCCACATGGTTCCTACTAATCATTGTTCATCAACGCTGAGCACATTTAAACCTGTTTAGCCAAAACGTGATCACCCGCTGAGTTCCGTAAACTATAAAAAGTAGATGAACTGTTGATGCGCCGTTTTCTTGAGCAACATATATTAGTAAATGTTTAGCTTCATTTTATTTCATGTTATTTGTGTTTGAGAACATTTCATTTGTCGGGGGGAAGTCACTGCGATAAGTTTGGGGGGGGGGGGTTTAGGTTACATTTTCAATGTCATTCATGTGAACCTGTTTACACTAAAGTAGTTTCATGCTGGAGAAGCATGATAGCATGAACAAGCGCTACCTCGATGTTGAAATCCACCAAAAGTTGATTTGAGATGTGCATTTTTAGGCAAAAGGACATAGTTCGTATCAGTTAAAAACAACAACAAAAAAAAAGGGGATGACATCAAGAGCTCCGAAAGTTTGTCACGATACCTTTAAGCAAACATTGTCGCACCGCCTCTGCCTCGTAGCACATTCCCGTGCTGTTGAGAAAGTTGAGGGTAAAGTCGGATTCCGGGACAGGATATTGGCTCTCTTTCCCGTTCACTACCACAGAGGTGGGACACCACATGTGAGCTGGGATCTGTACGACAAACAACGAGATGTGATTTTCATTTGTACATGTACATCTATCAGTAACCCTAATTCTCGTCCTTCCAGTTTGAACAGCGTTAAAAGCAAACAAACCAAAGAACGGTGACTAAATATTCCACATTCCTTATAAGTGAGTTTCAACAAGTTGCAGTCCTCACGCTGGTCGACCTACCCTGATGGTGCCCTTGGTGCCCACGATGACGGCGTCGTTGTCAAGCTCCAGTCCCGAGGAGCACGTGATCACGGCCATGCGGCCTTTGGAGAACTTGAGAGTGACCACCGTGGTCTCATCCACTCCTGGGAACAGACACCAAAAAGTTGTGCCACATTGAGATTTAGAAAAACCAATGAAGAGCTTTTCTTTGGCTTTTTGTGACACTTTCTAAATGGGTGACTAGTCAGATCCACCTGTAGCGACCGTGAAGAAAATATTTATAAGGGGACATATTGATTCACGGGGCAGCACGGTGGTAGACTGGTTAGCATGTCGGCCTCCCAGTGCAGAGGTGCAGGATTGGATTCCGGCTCCGGCCTTCCTGTGTGAGTGTGCATATTTTCTCAGTGCCTGCGTGGGTTTTCTCCGGGTACTCCGGTTTCCTTCGCCATTCCAAAAACATGCATGGCAGGTTAATGGAACACTCAAAATTGTCCCTAGGTGTGATTGTGAGTGTGAATGTTTTTTTTTGTCTATGTGAGCCCTCCGATGGGCTGGCAACCAGTTCAGCGTGTCCTCCGCCTACTGCCCGATGACAGCTGGGATAGGCTCCAGCGTGCCTGTGACTCAGATTAGAAAATGGATGGATGGATGGATGGATGGACACCCTCCCGCGTACCAGTCTCTGTACAGACCCCCGTGGCCTTGATGCTTTCGGGCTTTTCTCCGCCATACACCATCATGGAGAACTGCAGTGGGTAGATGCCGAGGTCCAGCGTTGTTCCGGCGCCCAGATTCTTGTCCATCGATCTGGGCAAATGCATGAGGGGCTGGCCGAATTCGGCCCTCACCATCTTCACCTCACCAAGCTCCCCTTGAGCGAGCAAACGTCGGATCTCCACAGAGGCCGGGAAGAATCGACTCCACACGGCCTTGAACAGACAAATGTTTGATTCGATTGGATTTTCAAACGGAAGATATTTTTACAGCCAAGACAAGTGCAATTCGTACCATCAATGAGGTAAATGTGTGATGGTTGATTCTTAAGGGATTTAAATGCCCATGCGGATGGCGCATAATAAATAAAGGTGGAAGCCTGTCTGTGATGCAGTTTGGGTTACATCCTTCCCGTTTAAATAAATATATACATAAATAAATATCCAAGTCTGGATGCCAAGTTCATTGCCATCAATATCTCAAAATGGGGTGCTGGAGTCATAAGTTTGTTTTGTCTAAAAGCACAAATCACCTCCATTAGGAAAACATTGTTCCTCTTTGCTGAGTCCAGGATCTCCTTCACCTCTCTTGCGTTCATGGCCAGAGGCTTCTCACATAAAACATTTTTTTTGGCGTCCATAAAGAGCAAGCAGCAGTTCAGATGGTACGGGTGGATCACACCGATGTACACCACATCTAGAAACAGACAGAGAGCGGTTAATTATTTATTTTGGTAGACGACTGTCCACATTTGACCCTGCATGCAAACCGACCGATATTTGGATCTCGGGCCAGTTCCACGTAGCTGCCGTACGCTGCACGGATGCTGTGCTTTTTGCCAAACTCTTGTGCACGCTCTACGTTGCGGGCGGCCACAGCCACAACCTGTTAAAACACAATTTGATAAGTGAATTAATTTGTTTCAACTCATCGGATCATTTGCAAAACAAAAAGTGCAGTTTTAACTTTCTTGGGTTATGATGAGTGCTAAACTGTAGATTGGTGCGAATGTTTATGTGAATGGTTGTTTGTTAACACTCCATTGACTGGTGACCGGGCGACCGGGCAGGTGTTGCTTGTGGTTAGCTCATTGACCTCACAGTGCAGACGTGCAGGGTTAGTTTCCGGCTCCGGCCTCCCTGTGTGGAGTTTGCATGTTCTCCCCATAACGTGCGCACTTTACATGATCCCATTCACCAATCTGAACCTTCGACGAGTAATAATGCCACATTATTAAAGCAGCATCAGCATCCGAGTCGTTGATGTGCACTTTGGAGCGTAAATAACCAATTACAAGAAAGAGAAAACTGCAAACAAACGTGAACCGGCGTTGAACTTTGTTCTGGTCGGACGTCCTGTGCAAACGCTAAACGGAATCGTTGGATTAAGCAATAGAAATGTGGAGTAAACATGTTTTGATTGTAGTGGGGGATTCGCTCCCTGTTTATGTGCTGATACCTGGTGATCTTCCGGTGAAAGAGTTTTCAGGGCCACCGTAAAGTCGTGGCTGATCTTGCCCGCACCGCAAATACCCCATTTGGTTGCCATGTTTGGAAGGGGCAAGGGTTGATCTGGTTGCAATAGCAGTCCAATGACGATAGGTGGAGACAGAGCTCAACGTATGACTGGACACGAGTCTACTATATGGATTTATTTCGTCTGGTCGTTAGTTTTTTTGTACCCACCGCACTATAAAACAAGAACGGCTGGACACGAGTCTACTGTATGGATTTATTTTGTCTGGTCGTTTGTTTTTTTGTACCCACCGCACTATAAAACAAGAACGGCTGTGTGCAATTATGTGTGATATATATTTTCATTGGTTTATTGAATATCGTGAATTATTTTCTTTTCGATAATTTTTCGAACTTTTTTTCCTTTTGAAAATCAAGTGAAATCTATTTACACAAATTTGAAATTCCTTCCACACCTTTTAAAAAACATATTTCGGAATTATAATGATTATTGTACAACAAAGGAAATATATTTTTTGCGTCAGATATATCTTTTTTAAAAATACACTTTCCAGATTCTGATAAGTGATGAAATATTTCTAAAGTACAATACAATACATATTTAGGTCAATGTTTCTTCTACTCTGGCACGAACCAAGATGTTCTTCTTTTAATGATAGATGATTAAATAGATTCATACATATTAGATACATTTATTTTAGTTTCTCATTCTGAAAAAGGTTTTCTTCTCATACATTGCGCAATATATCAAAGCATATTTTTGAATGAAGCATATTTATTGTGCTTTTACCCATGTTTTAAAATCGTAATTCCAGCCAAAATTGTCAGAGAGTGCATTATTTCAATTGCACATACAAGATTGTTTTTCCGCTGTAATGTGACAGTCAGGAGTCACGACGCCCTCATCCAAAATAAGTATTCAGACCACACGTGGAAGAGTTTCACAGTGCAATACTTTTATAAATTGTATCTTTAATGTGTGTGTGTGTGTGTGTGTGTGTGTGTGTGTGTGTGTGTGTCTTCATATAGTGGAAGTGAGTAATTTGGAGCAAAGGTGCAATGGAGCTTTCTCCGCCGTTTCAGTTTTGGTGGGTTCAAATCAGGTAAAGCTTGACAGCAATCCAAGCAAAGTCATTGGCTTTCCTGGCTGAAGACGACGCCCACCTGGTCCCAGATTTCATCCGTGATTTCTGTCAGTAAAATGGAGTCAGCCAGAGGCATCCGTGGGCTCTCTGTAAGATTTGATGAAGAGGAGTCATATTATCCTCTACAACTGACTGGAGGGCATGTGTGTTTTTAAACTGCCGCCTGCATAAACCAGATCTAATATAATTTACAAATACAAAATAAATATTATTTTCTATTTTTGTCTACCGGTACCTTTAAGTAGACACTATCACACTTTGCGAAATCTGATGCTGTTGGTGAAGTTGAGCTGGAGGATTGGCCCGCACACCTTATATATATATATAGTTTCTAT